TAGTTTTTGTTTTCCATGAGGCCACTGTATTAAACACTGGTAGTCATTCCTGCATTCGGCTTTATAGCCTCTTACACACAGTTCCCTTACACACTTACCACGAAGCATCAGAATGAATGAAAGCCTGTGTGTAAATCTCCAGTGACCAGGAGGTAGCATGGTGGCTTCCCTTTCCCACTTCCATCTTCCCTCCTCCCTCTCCCTCCCCCAGTGCATGGACCTGCTTCTGGCACGTGCCTGGGACTTAGCAGACAGACATCACTAAACCTCTGCTGAAGGATTACATGGTGCCAGCTCACTGGAGGGGAGCCATGCAAAGACCAGGCAGGTAGGAGGCACAACAGGAAGACACAGGGTCCTGGGTGCCAACAAAGCAGGAAAGGAAGGGGAGTGGGCAACCAACACTATCTGATGCCTCAAAGCCCAAGGGCATGGGAGAGCAGCGAGAATGAATGACTGTCCCAGCAATTAGCAAATGAGAAAATTCAGTTGCTTTTTGGTTGTTATCATGTTGCCACAGGACCTTTCTATTTCTCTCTGACTTTTGAAAAAGAAGACTCGGTGCCCACTCTTTATGCATTCTGCAGGCCCTGGTCCAGCTATTATCATCTCAAACTCTCCCATTGATTGAGGAGCCTTAAAGGCCATCCGGTCAAATGTGCTCCTTGTAGTGATGGGAAGTTAAGGTCTAGGGAAGGTCAGTGACAGACAGACGTCAAATGCAGGTCTTTGAGCCCTGCTGAGCTCTGCTCCAAGCCACTCCATGTCTAGGGGTACCTACCACTACTCCGGGGTACGTCCACTGAAGGTCGACCACCTCGTTGTTAAAGACAGCACAGGTGACCACGATTGTTTCCCCTGCCTTATACACAGTTTTAAGAGCTTCCATTTCTAGATCAAGTTCTGATGTTGCTAGAAAAAAGAACAAACACAAGGACCTTAAAAACCCACAAGACAGTCAGGGTCTCATAAGGTTTGGGTTGGTTTGTTTTTCTAAAGACAATTCTAAAAAATAATTTGCAGACCAGTTTGATCAAGACAAAATTTGGCAAGTCTCTGAAGTCTTGATTTTGAATTGGTATACAATTTGGCATGGAGTTGTAATATAGGAATACAAAGTCATTAACAGTAAAAATCGATTCCAATGTAACAGAACAACACATTCCTGAGCAGTTGGGTCAGTTGTGGCTATACTCTTTTGGAATCCCCTTGACCCATGTGTCTGTCCATTTAATCAACCAACCTCTACTGACCGGCACTGCTCTAGGCACTTTGCCCCCGTCCCCATCATGAAATAAGCCAGGCTCTGGCAACGGCAATGGCATGGAGCAATGGCAAACCCTTGCTCCATGCAGGGTAAGTGCTCAGATCTGTTGACCCCAGAGTGTGTTATACTTCCCCATTTATACTGACCACTGCCATCAAAGGGATGAAGTCTACAACTACAATCTTTCCTCCAAATTGAAATCACTTTTCTTAAGTTACTAAAGTTAATCTAGGCATCCGACCTCCCCAGGCATGTTTGTTTTTAGGGCCACTGTAGTCAGGAATGTGGATAAAACAGTAAGAGGCTTATGCAGGGAAGAATTCCTTACAGTATTTTGAAGTCAACTGATGAAACATGAATTCTTACACGGGTAAGCAAGCTTTAGCCTTTAGTAATTTTAAGCTTAGTATTATTATAGCCACACGGGTCAGCCTGACATTGTATTAGGTAGGGTCCTAAATCCCCAAATTGGAATTCAGTGTCTCTAACACCAGGGATGGTGATTTAAAAAAAAAAACTACATGCATCTGATGATTTTGCCTGTTACTCTTATTTAAGGGAGAGAGAGGGTACAAGTACCTTTCAAAGCATAAACATTAAATGGGATGGTCTGGAACTTCTTTCCTTGGACAGTGGCCTCACAGATATAGGGCCCGACAGTGAAGGTCCCATTAAAGCCCTGTCTGCTGTCGTAGGAGGCGGGTACCACCCCGTCACCGTTCCGTAAGGTCACAGCAGTCTCAGGATCCGTCGTGCGACAAGGTATGATGGCAGAATCGTCATCCTCCACGATGACTAAATAATCTGTCATTCCCAGAGGTACAAAGGCTACATCCGGGTCTGCGGTTTAAAAAAGGAAGAAGACTCTATTAGGCATTAGACTCTATTAGGCATTTCATCTTTACACATATATCCAGAAAAACCATCCCATTGGCATTATTCTTATCAGGTATGAATTGTACCTTTACACATATATCCAGAAGATTTGCCCCAGTGACATTAATCCTTGTGACGGCTAGAAGGTGACTTTAAAGTATGAATAATACCAAATGGCATGTACCCTAACAAAAAATACTAATGATAAATATAAATACTAGCCAGTAATCCAGATCAAATTTAAGCAACAATTAAACCAGAAGTGGGCAATAAGATGATAGAGTCCGACTCTGTTCAAAACAAGAAAAAGTATTCAGAATTTTTAAATTATGGAATGCTTTTTAAAAACTCCTATCACCTATAGTCAGTACTATTGAGAAATAAAACAGAAATTTATTTATGAAAAAGTAATCCCTTGAGTAATACATAAAATTTATAATTGCATAGCTTGAAATTTCCTTTCCAGAAGAAAATCAGCTACTTAAGCTACTATGGTAACAACATCAGCTGCAGAAAGGGGCCCTAATTCTCCATTATTGCCATAAAAAGATCTCTGTTGGACAGCAATGTAGGGGCTACTTGGGTGGTGTTTGTGCTGGGGGTTGGGAACAAGAAGAATTTTTGTGCAATCTTAGGTGGATCAGAACTTTAGGACTCCTGTACTTTTCACAATCCCGGGTTCCTGCCGGTCTCTTCCCAGCAGGGGGAAAATCCCTCCACCCTGAAAAGATTTTGCTGAAGGAACCAAAGTGTCAGTGAAGTTGGGGTGATGTTCTAATTTCCACCCTTTTCAAAACAAAATTTTTTTATTGTTAAGAGGGAAGGTTCATATGGCTAAGAGTGTCATGAAAGAAGTGAAGAAGTTCTAAATCCCTGGGGAGGCCCGTAGTTAGAGAGGGCAGGAAAGGTAGCCCATTAAAAAACTGAAAAATAAAAGGCAGAAAGGTAGAATAACATCATCTGGAAGAACCCACTAACTTGACCTCTGCCAAAACAACAAGGACGGCAAGAATCGTAAATGGTTTATGTTTTGTTCTGAAAGCAAGTATTCTAGCTGTAGTTCTCTTTAATTTACCCGATTACATACTGAAATCGCCATCACTCCAATTTGTGTTTGGAGTTCCAAATTCTTGAGCTCTGTTAGCAAAGATTTCAGCAAACAAAGCAGCAAGTTAATTTAAGGTTAAAACAGACAGATTGATATCCATAACACGTCAACCGGGGCTTCCTTGAAAACGCTAGTCTTCCCTACCTTCACGTACCTTCTGTGTGACGCTTCAGTCACACAGGGGTCTTTCTTTTAACAGCTGTCCCCAAGAGAAGGCAACGTACACAGAGACACAGACACCGAATCACAAGGGAGTGCACGGGGAATGCTGGGTGGGAGGTGGCCCAAACGGATCTCAAGCTCACGGCCAGGCCTGGCTGTGAGAAAGCACCACGCGTTCCTCCAACGACACAGAGCACAACCGTCCAAGGGCCTGGCCATGACATCCATCGCACCTAAGGCCACGCTCCCCAGGATGCTTCCAGCCACCGACTGAGCAGCACTGGGTACCACGGGCTGCAGGCCTGCCAATCCCACTCGTCCTCTCATAGGC